ATGATTCTGAAATCAGTTATTCCGATGAATCAAGTAATTTAGATAAGATTAGCGAAAATATTGTAGAGATTAAAGAATCTCTCCATACACAAAAAAATAATGTAGCTTATTTTATAAGTACTACAGGTGAACCTTGCGATGAAGGTGCTCGCAAGCTTATAGACAATAATAAGATAATTAGTAAGCAATTAGTTAGTTTAGGAGAAGTCATGAGAGAAAAGAAAAATAAGAAGTACTCTCAATTTGGACTTTGCATTTGAGGTGAAACCTCCGAATCGATGAGCTATGTTAAAGATCGAATTTATTCGACTATATTAATTCTAAGTAACTTATTACTTAATTTGAATCAGATCGAAGTTTGTATAGCTAAAAACAAATGTATAGAAAATTTAGAGTGGATAGAAATAAAATATATAATTAATAAAGTATTTAAGAATTCTAGTATTAAAGTAATAATTTGTAAAGATACTTTAAGATATGTACCTTTGGAGCAACGTGATACAATATTTTACGAGCTTCATAAATCTCCTATTGGAGGACATCGCGGCGTTTCCAAAACTTTTCACCGGATTAGACAAAACTATTACTGGGAAAATCTGAAAGATGATATTCAACGACGAATATCATCTTTACAGTAGTTTCTAGAGTGTCAGTGAAAGAAACTCACTCGCCTACAAACGAAATAACCAATGATAATCACTGATACCTCCGCAACTACATTTATAAGATAACTATGGACATTGTAGGTCCACTCAAGAAAACCCCTAAAGGATACGAGTACATCTTAACTCTACAAGATCAGTTAAGCAAGTTTTGTCTAGCTGCCCCGTTAGCAGATACACTATCATCCACTATAGCTGATGCCTTTCTTAAAAAATTCATTTGCGTCTTCGGTTGTCCCAAAGCCGTACTTACAGATCAAGGAAAGAACTTCTTGAGTTCACTGATGACCAGAATTGCTAAACGTTTCAAGATAAAGAAATTGAGGACCACCGCCTTTCGATCGCAGTCTAATGATTCTTTAGAGAGATCACATCACGCTCTTGCTGAGTACTCAAAGCAGTACACAGAAATAGACAATAATTGGGACGAATGGCTCATCTTAGCCATGTTAAACTATAACATCTGCGTTCAAGAAAGTACTAAACATACCCCATTCGAAGTTATTTTCGGTCGATTAGCCCGATTGCCATCTAGTAACCCCTTACGTAAAGCCGACATGGTACCGACTTATAAGGGATATATAACTGACTTAGTAACGCGACTCACAGGAATTCAAAAATTGGTATACGAGAACTTAGTCGCTTCCAAATTCAAATCAAAGAAATATTACGATCAACATATAAATCCAGTTAATTTTAAGGTTAATAAAAAAAAAAATGTTTCGAAAAACCGAAAAAAAAATTATTGCAGTATTCTACGTGAAAAAACAAACATTTTTTCTCCTATAAAATTTTTTTCGATTGTTACAATTAGACGGAGATAAAAAATGTTGAAAAAAACTGTCACTTCCAGGAAAAAATGCCCGTGCGCGCGTCATATTTGACGAAAATAAATTTTTGATCAGTGATTCAGATAGGGCTTGGTAATAGCTAAAAAATGGTGTACTTCAAATTTTCGTACGATTTTTTTTCCAAAATTGGCTAATTGTCAAAAATAATAAAAAAATTTCAGAATTTTCAATTTTGCATAATTGTTGCAAAATTTTAAAAAACAATCGATGGCAACCGTGAGTCATATCATTTGAAAGCTCTCCAAAAGACCTTTCAAACGCACCCACGCGCGTCTCTGTACGTTAATTTCTACCAGAGATATAAAACTTTGAAGTTAGACTGATTTTGCCCGTGGGGGGGTAAAAGTGGCTGACCGGCACTGTAAGTCGACAAAATTGTTACGATTTATATAAAAGCGGTACTTTGTATTTCGATAATGTACATATATTTCGCGACATAAAGATTAATCAAACTACGATTAGACCAGCAATACTTGCCGGCACTGTAAATCAAGATGGGAAGTGTACCTCCGGTAGTTATTCCGATGTTTACGGAACTTGGAGTAGCGTGTTAGTTCAAGCCATGATCAAAATAACTATTCAAGAATATACCGCTTCCGTTGATTTAAATAACGATCAAATAATTTTGCGTAGTGGTGTTAGATGTAAATTTGGGAATGAACAATGTATCGTTTCGGAAGGAGGATATACATTTTGGGAAAGGACACCACTCAACCTTTGTTCTATTAATCGGTATAATGTGTTATATAACGGTGTAGCTAATGAAGTTACAAGTGAAACTGGACAAACTCTGTTCTCTTTAACTACGCAAGATATCACTTTTGCATTAATAACTAAGTCTAAGCGATATACGTGCGGTTATGAGATTAGTGATACCGAACATCCAAAATTGTTCATACATAAGGTTAAGAACGATATGTTATTTCCCAGTAATAAAATTTCTTTAAGTAATTTAGATATATTTGCGTATATAAATTCAAAGTTTGTATTTGTGGAGCGTTATATTAAGTTACAAATAACAAACTTGTATAGGGATGTTGTTGTACAACGTTGTAGTCAAGAGATATTTTGAAAAATGCATTTGCTATTGCCACGCAATCTCCTGATCAATTTGCTTATAATCTCATGAAGGAACCTGGATATATGGCCGTGACGGCAGGTGAAGTAGTACATATAGTTAAATGCATACCTGTTGATGTGAAAGTCTCGCAAAGTGAAGAGTGTTATGCTGAACTGAAAGTGATTCATAATAATCATACAAAATTTTTATCTCCGAAAATTCACATTTTGAAAGCACATGAAACAATAGTTGATTGCAACGTTTTGCTACCCACATTTTTTTATTTTAATGAAGATTGGTATAAGTTTTTGCCTAGAGCAGTAAAGGCTAAAGCACCTACCACTTTCAAAACTTTTTCTGGATTATCGTGGAAATATCAGAATATTCCCGCACTTGCTACAAGTGGAATATACACGGAAAAAGACCTACAAGATCTGACAAACCGCATCATATTTCCTATGGAACGATCCACAACAGTGAACGATGTAGTTCGAGTAATTCGTGGACATGCCGTCAAGGATCATGAAGGAATAATTGGAGGACTCTTGAATAAAAATGTGATGGACAAGTTAGTGATCAATACCTGGAACAAAATGTGGACTAAATTTATGACTTTCGGAACATTCAGCGCCGGAATATTTGCAATCATGTTAATTATACAAACCATAAAGAAACTAATAGAGGTTTTAATAAATGGAATAACTCTCTATAGCATTTATGGGTGGTCTTTCCATTTAATCGGCGCCATATGGAACAGCTTAACTACGCTTTTGATACACTTAGCACCTAAAGTTACAGTGACAGAAAATATCACGGAACCAACAAAGAATGACGCTTCAGTGCCGAAAAAGGATTATCTATATCCATCTTTGCATCCTACAGAAAATGAAGCAACTGAGAATAAACAAAATAATCCTACTTCACCAACTCAATCTACGTCTCTCAAGCCATCATTTGGATTTCTTTTATGTTGAAGCCAAGAGATCTTTTTTTTTATTACATATATATCTTTAATTTTATTTTCTTCACGTCTATAATTCTGCACGACAAAATCTTTAGAACCATATCTTAAGTTTAGATCGCTTTTCCTCGTTTCACTCCTTAAGCAACCGTTTAAGTGTAGGGGTGTAACGGCGGCTCAAAAAAAAAAAAAGACAAAAAAAAATACCGGCCACACACATAGCTCGTAAATTAAGATGAAAAACTGCGTACAACTGAATAAGGGAAATTTTTTCTGTAAACGGCAGTTTTCGGCTCGCGCATCTGGCAATCTTCCGATGTTGAAAACAATCAGAGCGATTTTACGATCGGGCCATCCGGAGTAGCCAGATTGCGAGCATCTTTAGAGATCTGCAGCGCACATGTGCATCCTGCCGATAGTACTGTTATTTTATTTTAAATAATTTATTCTCAATATTACTAATTTCTTTTAAATTGAAAGAAGCGCATTTGCTTGCAAGTCTCTTAAAAAATTGCGAAATTTATCTATTGTAAGTAACATTCGAGTAATCAACAAGGACTATTTTAATTAATAGTTTTTGTTTATTGCTCGGATATGTTTTAATTTTATACCTAAATATAAATATGGGAATAATTCATTATCTTTCCGTATTTATTAGGATTTTCTTTTTACGAATTTTGTATGTTTAATTGTTGAATGCCAACTTTGCTTTAGAAAATTTCAGAATGGCTTGAAAGAAAGTTAATGACTATATTTATTATAATTAACTCTGATTTTTCAGCATTTTTTAAGGCTTCTTAATAATTAATTAATAGTTAAGACTATTAATATCTTGGTTGTTTTCAGATAAATATAATTCTTAACTTTTATTCTGTACTTTAATTTTATTATAGATTAAGAGATATTTTTGTAAAATTAGAGTACCACACACACAATTGAATGTAAATAAAAATAGTTTAAATAATTAAAGGTCAAAATAGTACATAGAGGGCCATCTATGTGAAGAAGGCCCAAAGCACTTAAATGAGGCCACTCCCGCACACTCCGCCCCCGGCCAATTAGGGTTCGAATTTCGTTTACGCTTGAGACACTCCCCAAATTTTCCAACCAATTAAGTTAAGAAAATTTGAGTTCTTCCCGTCCAAAAATGACAAAGATTTTCGAGTGGGAGTCTCTTGCGAAAAATATAAAAGGGAACTTTTCAAGAAAATTAGGCAGTTATTTTCTAAATTCAGTTCGTGTAACCATTCCAAATTAGTTTGCTGTTTTTCAAAGTTCGTCTCGTTCGAAAGTTCTAGTTATTCTTTCCAGTGTGTGTGTCGGAAATTAAGGCAAAAGTAAGTAAAGAAAATCAAAATAAATTTTTTACTCTAACTTCTTTTTACATCCTTTTCTGTCATTCTCTCCTATTTTAGTTTCGCGGACGGTCTGTCTTTTTAGATAGTTACACTCGATTGCCAAGCGTGTGGTCGAGTGCATATTAGATAGGCCCCCCTTTACGTTATTTTATTGCCAAGAGTGTGGTAAGCATTGCTATATTGCCAAGCGTGTGGTATAGTAAAGCTTCGATCCTCCGTCGCCGAAAAAAGAATGTGTACGAAATTTGTACAAGAATATATACGAAATTTCTATACAATATTCGAATAAAATTCGCACAACAATTTTGTATATATTCTCGTACAAATTTTGTACATATTCTGTACAAAACTTGTACAGCTATTTTCAGTGGGAATAAAATATAAATTATTACATGTTAATTATTACATTCATTTTCCCAATTTTAATTACACAACACTGCTCACGGATGATGTACGCGCGCTTAGCAAGTTTCTTGTAGAACTAAAAAATTAAAACCATGGTTACTCTCCTGTTGTGTATTGTATTATATATATACTATACTACGTATAATCATAATCAGGATTCTCGTTTTTGTACATAAGTCTTAATCCATATAATTTAATTAATGATTTTCAATAAAACATTTAAAATTAAACTTAATTAACGACATTTTCAACAATTATTGTACAAGTAATAAGAATAATAACATAGAATTGAAATCTTAAATATGACCCCCTGCATTATTCATGAGAGTAATAAATAATAGTAATGATTATTGTTTATAATCACTTGATTAAAACTGTGTGAATATAAAATGGAAATTACTTTCAGCATTAAATCAGTATCAAAAGTCAAGGATTCTTTTTGTACAGGCAATTAGTCGAATTGCTTTGCTGCATCAACACATTGAATATTTCAATGAAGTGGATATTTTAGATCTCCTTTGTCCTTTATTATATGATGTCTTGCCATTAGTGAAACAATTTACAGTTATTGCTCTTGCAAGATTAGCTAATCAAGACTATATGATTGCTTCTTTGATTTCAAAAAAAATAATCTTCTCCCAGTTACTGGAAAATATACAGAAACAATCCGTAAGGCTTTAAAGTGGTAGAAATGTTATAGGCATATTCTGATATAAAGCATAAATTAATTTTTTTAGATTCATTCTAGATATATACTAAATTGTTTTATAATACCCATTTATTATTTAAAGGTTTTTTATTTACAAAAATCATACATTTATATACATTTATATACATTAATATATATTAAATTACTTGTGACATATATCATATCACTAGAAAACATGTTTTCACTAATTAATTTATATTTATATACTTAGGAATTTTATAAACAATCAGTTTTATTTCTTTTGCGAATGTTGATGAAACATTCTGTTGAAATAACTTTGACAGTAATATCACAAGGTGGTATGGAAGCAATAAATTTATGTTTGCAAGATTTTAATTCTGATATAAGAAAATCAGCTGCTTGGACTATAGGCTACGTTGCACGACATAACGAATATTTAGCATTGGCAGTTGTAGAAACTGGTATATTGGTTATTTCTTTAAATAATGTTAATTTATATAGTTATATTATCAAGTAATAAAAATTTTCAAATATCTTTTTTGAAGGTGCTGTTTCACTATTAGTATCTTGTCTGCAATCATCTCAATCCGAGCTAATACAAAGCACTTCATCAGCATTGTGTGATATTAGTAAACATACTTCTGAGTTGGCCCAGGCAGTCATTGATGCTGGTGCTATTCCACTTTTAGTAAAAAATAGTTCAATAGAAGATACAAAATTAAATGTAATAATTTGAATAATCTAATTTACAAATGTGTAGCATTTATTTCTTGATTACATTTACAGCACCAAACCTTATTGACACTTGTTTGTATTGCAAAACATTCAGTACAACTATCTAATACTATTGTACAATCTCAACTACTTTCAGATATATTTTCTTATGATAATTTCACTGATAATTATATCACAAAAACTGCAACAAATTTAGTTAAAGAAATATCTAAACATGGTGGTGAAGTAAGTTGCTTTTTTAATGAATATGAATGAAAAATCAATTTTTTGATTATAAAATTCATTTGTACACAAACCTCAAGCTTGTTGAATGCATGTTCACTGAAGAAGGTATTAAATTTCTCATTCAAGTTATGAGTAGTACAAATACACCAACAATATTATCAGCAATTTTGGCTCTTGGATATGCTGCTGGGTATTCTAATAGAATAGCAATGAATATTATTGAAATGAAGGTTTGACTTACATTAAACACAAAAAAAGTTGTAAATATACTAAAAATTAAATAATTATCAGGGGTTGCATAGCTTAGCAAAAGTCTTCAGAACTCACAGTGACTTTCATACATTTGCTATTAGCATTTGGGCTGCAGGACAAATAGGCAAACACTCTTTTGAACATGCCAATGCTATTGCTGAAACTGATATTCTGACTATTGTACTAGCGGTAATTTATATACAAAATTAGATATACATTATATAAAGAAAATATTAAGTTATTTATAAAAAAAGTTTTGTTATGAAAATCAATATATTTCAGATGTACAACTGTCCACTGAGTTCTAAAAAATTAAAAAGTAAATGTAAAGTGACACTAAAATTAGTACTACAAAACTGTATAAAAATTGAAGTTTTAAAAACATTATTATCTGACTGCCCATCAGATATTCTTAAATATATTTTAAATCAATTTACTAAGGTAAGGTATATTTGTTTTATATTTTTCTAAATTAATTTGATTATAATAGTTGAAAGAATTAAAGAACTTAGCAGTAAATTGATGAAAATCAATTAACAAAAATTATATAATTTAGTTTATTTATTTACAACTTATATGATACATTTGGTTTACATTTCTTAAATTTCTATTTGTGTCTCGTATCCAGTTTGTGTAGTTGATTATGTATGTGTTTTGTGTGTGTGTGTGTGTGTGTGTGTGAATGCGCGCGTGCGTGTGTGTGTGTATGTGTTGTGTAAATATGTGCCTTTGTAGGTGAGTCTGCAACTCTTGTGTCCCTGTCTTCTGCGCCTGCCTGTTCCTCTTTTCTTCTCATTTTACTTCTGATTAATCTTCTCTTCCTCTTTCTCTCTCCAAGATCTGCCTTTTCCGCTCTTCTGTTTTCTTTTCAGCTTTTCCTTTATTACTTTTTTTTGCCTTTTCACCTTTGCCTTTCCTTTGCTTTTGCTCTCCTTCTTGCTAATCATTTCATCTATCTTTCTCCTTATTAAAGCTTTGACACCTTTTTCTTGTTTCCTATTGCTCCCTCTGCCTTTCCTTTCCTCAACCTCACTTATTTTTCCTTAGTATCTTATGATTTGCCTTCTAGTTTATCTTTTTCTTTCTCTTCTTCGATTCTTCTTCTTTTCCATTTTACTCCATCCTCCAATACCTGCTTCCTCTCGCTTGTGTAGTTGCTTTTACTTGTGTCTTGTGTGTGTGTGTGTGTGTGTGTGCATGTGTATGTTTATGTTTGCGCGAATGTTTGTTTTGTGTGTGTGTGTGTATGTGTGTGTGTGTGTAGATGTGTCTGCGAGTCTTGCTTCTCTGTCTTCTGTTTCCGTCTCTCCTTAGGGTCTTGTAGCTTCGTCTTCTTGCTTTTCATTTTCTTTCTTCTCTTCATTTCTTCTTCTTTTCCATTTTATCTCCATCATCCACGCTATCTTTTCTTTGCTTCCTATTATTATTTTTTCTCATTCTTCCCCGTCCTTTCTGCTTTTTTCACATTTTTCTACCATGTGCTTTCAATTTTCTTCCTCTTTCATACACATTCTGCATCTCTTATTTTCTTCTTTTTCCCAATACCTGCTTCCTCTCGTTTCATTACCTAACCTAAACCTTTCCCTTATTTGCAGGCCTTTTATTCTTCCCTCTCCTTGAATTTCCTTTAACCTATACCTTTTCATTTCTTGTTTCAGCTCTTTCCACTCGTTTATGTATCTTGATTTTTCTAGCTTTTCTTCTAATTCTTTTTCATCTTTTTTCTTCAGCTCATCTCATATTTCTTCCCAAAACTCTTCCCTCATTTCACCTCCCTCTTCTCTCTCTCTCTGTATATTTTACTTTTTTCCAGCCTTTCCTCTCTCTCCTCCTTCTTACCCTTTTTATCTTTTTCATTTCTTTCCCTTTTCTTTAATTCTCTCCATGCTTCTTTTCTTATTGAGCCATCTATTTCTTCTCTTATTTTGTTTTCATACTTCATTGCTCTTTCTAATGTTGTTTCTTTCATTTCTTGTCTTCCTGTTTCCCATCGTATTAGGTAACTTGGCGTGTTTCTATCTAATCCTAAAACCCACTTTATGTATTTTAGTTGTAGTCTCTCTATTTCTTCATATCTCTTTCATCCCCAGATTTCTGCTCCATACATAATCACGCTTTTCGCCAGAGCATCGAACAGGTTCATCCTTAGCTCCCAGGTTTCTCTAAATAGCTTTTCTCCTAGCCCCCATAACTTTCCGAGTCCCATATTTATTTTCCCTTCTACCTTTTTATCTGCTTTTTATTTCCGTTATTTCTGCTTATCACATATCCTAAGTAGTTGTACTCTTTCACCATCTCTATCTTCTCATCTTCCCATTCGAATTCTTCTTCCTTCCCCCTTCCTCCTCCTCTCCTGCATTTCATCATCTTTGATTTTCCTACATTTAACTCTAACCCCCTTTCTTCCAGGTATCTTTTTAATTTTTTCAGGATTGCTTTCATTCCACTTTCACTCTTTGCCATCATCACTATATCATCTGCGTATCCTAATGTCCATATTTTCTTCCTTCCTATCACTACCCCTCCTTCCTGCACCTGCTTGATCTTCACTTTCAGGTCGGCGAAGGCAAGATTAAATAGCGTGGTGCTCAAAGGGCACCCTTGCCTTACGACTTTGTAAGTCTCAAACTCCCCAATTATTTCTCCTCCAACTTTTACCTTACTCCCTGTTTTTTTGTATATTTCTTCTATTCTTTTCCTAATTTTTCTATTTATCCCTTTCTCTTTCATTGTTTCCCATATTTTCTTCCTCTTTATTTTATCAAAAGCGGCCTTCATGTCTGCAAAGAATACGAACAGTTTTCCTCCTGTTTCCCTTATTTCCTTTCCTATTATTGTTTTTAATATAAATATCGCGTCCATTGTTCCTCTTTTCTTCCTAAATCCCATCTGCGTATCACTTAGCGTTTCTTTAGCTTCTAGTTCTCTTTCCAGCTTTTTTCTCAGTATTTCCGCATATATTTTCATTTTTCTTATTACCTCTTTTACTTCTCTTTCTTTGATTTCTTCACCTTCCTCTCCTTCGCTGTCTTCGGTTTCTTCCCCTTTAATTTCTTCCTGTTCATTCTCTCCCAATTGCTCCTTGAAGTGCTTTATCCATTCTTCTTTTCCTATATTTTCGTCTAATCCAATTCTTTTCTTCCTATTGCCATTCACTTTATCCCAGAATTTTCTTCTCGTCTTATCTGTTCTTATTTCTTCTGCCACTCTTTTCCCTTCATCTTCTTTTGCTTTTCTTATTTCCTCTCTGTATTCTCTCTTTGCTTCTAGGTAATTGCCTCTGTCTCCTTCCCCTTTTCTTACCTTATCTAACTCTGTCATCACCCTAGCCCTTTTTATCCTACATTCTTCTCTCCATCAGCTTTTTTTCGATCCTTTTTTTTTTCCTTATCTTCTTTTTTACAACTGCGTTCTTCACTCTATTTTTTATATCTTTCCATTTATCTGTTCCCTCTATTGCGTCTATCCATCTCTGATACTCCCTTATACCTTCTTCACTCCAGTCGTCTATCATTCTTTCCTCCTCTTCTTTTCTTTCTTCCGCTATTTTGTCTCCCAGTTCCACCTCTATTGGTAAGTGGTCCGACTTTACCCTCTCCTTTATTTGAACCTTTTTTATCGCCTCATCACCTTCCTCGTTACGTACTACATAGTCTATCGTTGACATTCCTCTCGCTCCTATATATGGTATTTCTACCTCTTCATCTCTTTCTTTTCTCCCATTCGTTATCACTAAGCCCACTTCTCCTAGCCATTTTATCATTTCTTCTCCCTCTGCGTTTAACACTTTATCCTTGGCCTTAATTTCTTCTAGTTTTTCTTCTGTCTCCCATTCCCTTCCTTCGGTTCCTGTTCTTGCATTGAAGTCTCCTCCTATAATTATTGTTTTTCCTCTGTTCTCTTCTATCTCTTCACTTATCTATTCATAGTTTTCCTTCTTCTCATGATGCATATACACCGATGCTATCATGTATTCCCTCCCTCCGATCTTTATTTCTCCTATTATTACCTCACTTGTCCTTTCTTTCTTCCATTCTACCTTATTCATCCCTTTTCTCTCTCTTACCGCCATTATTACTCCCTCTATTTCTCTCCCCCTTCTTCCTTCTCTTCTTGAGTCCCTCCACTCTATGCTGTACCCTTTCAGTTGTTTCTCCACACCAGTTCTTGCCCCTTGCCTCTTCACCCAGGTTTCCGTTAGCCCTATTATGTCGAATTCCCTAACATATTCCCAGTCGTCTTCCTCCATGCTCCTCACCCCCGCCACGTTCCAGAATAGTATTTTTACTGCCTTTCTCCCCTCTGTCTCCCTTTTCTTCTCTCTCTCTCTCTTTTATCCCTATTGTTTTCGAAACCCTTCCACCCTTTTTCCTACCATTTTTCCCTCTCTCTCGCTCCACCACCATTCTTCTTCCTCTGATTTCACCCCGTTATGCCACATCTTTACCTCTTTACCTTTACTTCTTATTTCTTTCACTTTCCTTCTTACTTCCTCTATTATCTTTCTCTGCTTCCACGTCCAGTCCTGATCTATGTATATCTTTTTCTGTGCCAGATTCCTTTTCTTCTTCATAATTCCTTCTTTTTGTTCCCATGACGCGCATCTAATTTACCACATGTTTTTTCTTCTTTCTCTCCGATCATCTCTCTCCGCTGTTCCTCCTATTCTTCTCAGATTCACTATCTCTTCTTTCATTTCTAGTACCTCCCTTAACCAGACCTCTGCCTCTCCCTTCTTTTCCCATCTTAACTCACCGTCTAAGTCTGTTACTATTATATTGTTTATCCTACTTTCTCTATCCATTTTTTATCTCATATGCTCTAATTCTTCCTTATTGCCTACTTCTGTTCCTCTTTGCTTCTTGTTTCCTACTTCTATGCTTTCTTTTAGTTTCACGCAGTCCTCTTCCAACTGGTCCATCCTCTCTCCCCATTTTTCCTGCAGTTTCTTTTCTCTACGTTCTGCTTTTTCCCTTTCTTCTTTCGTCTCTTTCTTTCTTTCTTCTCTCTCTCTCTTGTTCTTTCCTAACTTTTCCTATTTCCTTCTCCCACCTTTCTTCTCTTTTTTTCCCCTCTGCCTCCATTCTTTCCATTTTTCCCATTATTTCTTTAAACATTTCTGTCCATTCTTTCCTTTCCTCCTCCCATACCTCTCTTAATTCCCTTATGTCTGTCCGTATCTTTTCCATTACTTCTTCTGCACCACTATTTTTTCCCACTTCTCTTATCGTGTTGTCCAATCCTTCTCCCCCCTCCCCATCCATCTCGCTTTCCTCGCTCTCACACTTGCATCTCTTTGCCTCTCTCATTTCTCCTCTATTATTCTCCCTCAGCCCCTCCCACCTCTCTCTCCCCCTCACCACCTTTACTCTTTTCTTCTTTTCCTCCTCTGGGCCTTTCTTATCCAACCTTCCACCTTTATCTCTTAATTTTTCTGTTGT